TTAAAATTTTAAAATCTTACTCTGGACTTTTAATCAACGGTGTTGGAATGGCTTAAGCATAAAAAAATATCTCCCACGAAAATTGCCACTTTGCAGGGAATTGTACCCTCAGAATAGCAAAGAACAATCTAAAACTCCAATAATTCAATAATCCAAACGAGGCACTTGTCAAATATCACCATTTGTCCAACTAGGAAAGCTTCAATTTCTTGTACGTATAAATCACCATCTTTTTCATTCTTACTCCCCTACTCCCCTAATCCATTTTCCTTTAATCTCCACTTTGTGTCTCATCATTCGCTGGCGAAAAGCAAAATAAATTAAGCAAAATAAAATGACGAGCCTTTCTCTTTCTCTTTCCCTTTCTACTCCTACACACTGTTTTGCTTCCTACAATAAGCAGCGCTATGCTTTGAGATCTCCTCAATGTCATCACACTAGGATTTCTCATCACAAGTTACAGCACAGCTCCAGTTTTCTTGGATATAACCCTCTCAGGTATGTTAATTGTCATTTATTTGAATGATTCAATATGAGAAATTCATTTCAAGTTTTGGTCTATTTTCCCTCTTTAATCGTTTTGTTTTCTTTCAGAGTTTCAATTGATTTGAGTGGAGGGATGATGAGGAAGAGGCGTGGAGGGGCTGTTTGTTATGCTGCACCACTTACTCCTACAAATCTTCAGTGGGTCTGTGCTATCTCCTCTCTGTAAGTCTCCTTTACTTCATTATTATGCTTATTGGACTTGCTGCCAAGTTTGCTGTAAAATTGGAGCTTCTAATGTTTTGATTTCTTTTAGTTTTAATTTTGACCAAGCGAATTATTTCCAGTAGGATTGGCTCTATTGTTGTAGTATCGTATTCTTGGATCTTTGTTATTACACGTTTACGTTGCACCATTTGCTTCCATGTCTTATTACCTTGTTGTTGCTATTATTTGTTTATTGCTTTATTTTCACCATTCATGAGCCGAGAGTCTTTCGGAAACAAACTCTCTACCGCCATAAGGTAGAGGTAAGGTTTGTGTACACTTTACCCTCCCAGACCCCTTGGGATTTCTTGGGTTTGTTGCTGTTGTTTGACCAAGTGAAATTGGGAGTATGGGGAGACAAATTTAATATACTAAAACAGCCCCAATCTAATAGTTGTAGGGAGCATATGAAGTCCATTAAATTATTCACATTATTCAAGCTATACACCAAACAGCAAGATTCGAATGTGATTAGCTTCTGAAATTCCATTAGAACATCTACAGTGCCTTTCCATCCATAAGGGCCAACACGATGCATTAGATTGTGTGACCAAGCTTTCTCAGAGAGTTCTATGGCCTTTTTCCTCTTCAACTATGATATGTATCTCTAAGGGATTCGGCATTACCACGGGAGCCCAGGTAGATTTAGAAACATATTCTGTATGTCAGTAATCACGTCACAGTGTAGGAAAAAAAGAGATGCTGTCCTACATATCCTTCTTTCACATTTCATCACCTATTGCACAAACCAGTCTCTCTCTTGCTCAGATTGAGTGATACATGCTTCATTTTGTGCTGTCCAATTAAAACAAGACACTCATAGAGGAGCCTTAGTTTTTCAGATTAATCGACAAGGCCAAATCCAAGATTCGTTCCTCCGTTCTGAAGCATATGATAACACCCGTATACAGTAAACCTCTTTTGCATCTCACTTAATCTTCCTTTTCAATAATCCACTTTTTCAATTCAGTTGTCAACAAGGAGGTAATCCTCTCCAGTTTCCAGTCTTGGCTCTCCTCTTGAAGTGATACTCCACCTATCATTTTCTCTACAATAGGCTATTGTACATTTAGGATGTGGCTGAAACTGAATAAGTTTTTAAATTCCTCCTTACGAGGGATGTGACTAAACCAGTAAGCCTGCCAAAATTTGATCTTCATACCATTTCCCGGTTCAACATATAGATGTTGGCATGTTGCCTCTGGATTCTTCTCATAGGTTTCACATATGCACCAACGGTCATGTAAAACTTCTCTATATATGATTGGAAGTCTATTTCGTCTCCTTTTAACCCCTTCATCATCACATGATGGCACATGCAGACCCAGTTCAGGACATGGCCAAACTCCAAGCCATCTCATATAACTTTCTCGCAAGATTGGGTGTCATTAGTATCCTCTTGTAAGGTTTTCTACTTTATGGTATACTCCTTGTATACAGGCATGTTTTGCCTTTTTTTTTTAATGAAATTTATTACCTTATAAAAATAAAAAAAACCTTTCTCGCATTTTATCCTCCATGTGTGCAACTTAGACATTCAAAGCTTCCAGGTTACTTGATGATTAAGGGTCATTTACAGGCTTATGTTTGTACTTGATCTTCCAAGAGCTAAGGTGTATAAGGAAAACGGGCTGCTGGTAGCACCACTGGTTAGAAGCATCAACCAGGAGAGAGCATTGGCCCTTGGCATTGGCACACTAGCTTTGTTTGCCAAGCACACTTTCGTTAATGCTTGAATTAACCTGACACGGTGCACGATCAAAAAGATAAAAAGCGAGGGACATGTGCAGAAGTCTTTTGTATAGACTGTACACTTGTTCCCACCATGTAACGTTAGTTAATATCGTTTCCAGGGATTTACTTTTGCGTCTCTTTCTTCTAGAGTCTGAGTGCATATTAATTTTCTTCGATTCAAGTCTGTATTCTTAGAAGATTCAAAGTCCGTGCCCCTTGATTGATAAGTGTTGTTTGAAAGGAGTTAGCCTGTGTAAAAATTTAGATGCTTGCCAAACTTGTTCTTTTTGGCATAAAGAAAATTTTCCTTTTNTTTTTAGTTTATCTCACTTTATGGACTCTCTAGGTTCTGATTTTGGGTAGTGTTTACTGGAGTCCAGACTTCTGTAACATTTTCTGTACATACTTGGTACTGTTTATCAATAAATAGTTTACCTTACCTATCCAAAAAAAACTCCTATGTAATTTATGACGAAAAAACTACTTTTGTTTTCCAAGTAAACCTTGTGCTGCATGCTGCACCATAATTTGGATATTGCAATCTGACTGTCGTGGAATTTTCTAGCGTTCTCATGCTTGCAAAGGGCACTGCTATTCACAAGTCCTTTCTTGTTCCTTTATTTGCTTTACAAGCTCCTACGGCGGTTGTCTCATGGATCCAGTAAGTTTCTTTTAGCATCTGTGAACTAGCTCGTGCTTACTTCTTTAAGCTGGATGTTCTCGGATTACAGCAAACTGATGAAAAATGTCTTTCAGGGGTGAATATGGTATTTGGTCTGCATTTTTGGCACTTATTGCTCGTCTCTTCTTCTCCTTTCCTGGTAGGTCTACTGGTTGGTGCCTTTATTATGCCTATGAATTAAACCTCAAATCTAGATAATTGATCATCTTTGTTTTTGCTTTATGTATTTTGTATGTTGTTGGATAGCATTATCCAGCCAATATTCCCTTGTGAAGCAGGCTAGTAAATTGTACCCAGTGCTTTTCCTAGTCCTGTTTTAAGGTGAAGATGTCAGCCATTTTTTGGGGGTAGAAACTAAGGGAATATTGCTGAACTTTTGCATGTTAACAACTCGTAGTGAATTTAACATGATAAAGTTATAGTAGGAAGCAGAATCAGGATCATGTATTCATGCTGTTTTGCAGAAAATTGTTAACAGACATTGCGAATTGTGCCCGTTCTGTTTTACCAAAGGTGATAAGTAGATTGTTGTGTTTGGATGCTGTATGTTTTAAGCTACGATCAATCACACAGATGATTTTCTTCGAAATATCTGACTTTGATCTTGACCATTTGTAGGTGAACTGGAATTGCCATTTGTAGCACTGTTAATGGTAATTGTGGCTCCTTATCAAGTTGCAAACCTAAGGTTAGTATATCTTCCTCAATAAATAAACGTTCCTTGTTCTGGTGGACTAGAGTTATATCTGGTTCATATTGCTTGGCAGGGGAACAAAGGAAGGTGTTATTCTTTCCTTGGCAATAGCAGCTTATCTGGGTTTCCAGCATTTCACACGTGCTGGCAGCTTGCAGAAGGCATTTGATCAAGGTTCAATAATTGCCACCCTAGCCATCATTTGTATTGTTGCTATGCCATGCTTGCTCTTGATTTGACTTGAAACTACAGTGATTGCTCAACTGAGTCCCATAAATTATTTGAGTCATTTGAGGGATCAAGATCACACTAATTAATATCTTTCTTTAAATCCCTCTTATGTTAACTTCAAGCTGTATATCTAGTCAAGTATGTGGGACAAATTGGGTTAAATGTATTCATGCAGGAATAAATTAAATGATCACTGTGAACAAGCTTTCATTTGCATCCTATTAAATTCTGTACTTCGGGTAACATTTTGGATACTTATCGACGAAACAAAATGCTTCCTATTTTGGGTTTTACCATTGACCTAGAAAAAAGAAAAAGTGTGTCTTCTTTGGGCTCACATTGCGTGGAATGAGTTTGCGAATTCCAATGGTTCCTCCAAGGGACAAAGAACCCTCCTTTCAGATTCTTCTCAAAATGTAAAAGGCTAAAGTTGTAAAGAGGGACTGACTGCTTCTTGTATAAGCATAGTGTCAGCACCACTGCCATGTAGGTCAGGCTTGGACATACATTTTATACGTTCATCTTTCTTGAAGAGTGAGTGGCTTGCAGGGCATGCTTTCTCCATTGAGGTCTTCCCATTTTAACAAATTGTTGATTTCTAACACGAGTTAACATTCTTATGATCTAGTCCAAAATATTCTAACTCAATTTTATTATGTCTCTAATGTAGCTGTATAAAGAGAGGCATCTATCTTGCCCCATTTGTTTCTGATAATGTATTTAAAATAAGTAGTAACTGGTGCGAGGAAGAAAAAAGCAAAAACAAAAAGAGATCAGAGTTTCAATTGATTCTTCAAAATTTAGTTGTGCTTTTGCAATTTAGTGGTGTGCTGCTGTGTTCTCTGTATATGAGGAGTAGCACACTTCATATGCCGTTATTTGGATGACAAATGTTGGATCTTATTAGTCTCCTGTCAATGGGTCGGTTCCCGAATTTTGTACATAACTCTTCATTGAAATGATCCTAAAACGAGATATCGTGTCTAAAATATTTATTAACTGCAGAAATATTTTAATAGAGAATTGGCTACATTAGGATGTTGTTCTTCACTAAGTACTGGCTTCCTACTTGGACTAAAAGCCATAAATGGATGAATTATAGCAAGTTTAATGTGTTGAAGGCCATGAGGATTTTCACATCTCATGATGATTCGGCCTCTTTAGAATCAATGGAAGTATGGAGACAACTAGTGTCTTCCTGCAGCCCCAGTGAACAATGTCTTGCCCAATCTGTTCAGAAATGAGTTATTGTAATTGCCACCATGAAAGAAGCCATGGAGAAGAGTAACTGGATGTTGCTTGATAAGTTATCTGCTCCATTGGGAGTACCTGTTGGCTCTAAACCATAATCTGTTGGTTCTGAACCAGAACCATTCTGTCCAACTGGGGTGTATGGATTTACCGGCGTCATTGTGCTGCAATTGCAAGGAAACAGGCAAACATCTTTACTTTTCTTGCTTAGGAGATAATTTAAAATATCAAATAATTTCAGATAGTTCATACCTAGGACTTGGAGGTGGCAGGGTAGGGGGTGGCTGTGCAGGGGGTGTAGTAGGGGATGTTTTTGATGATGCATAGTGACAGCTCCCAGAGCCTGCAGCAATGAAAGGAAAAATTAGAAGCTTTGCCAACTTTTTTTGGATTAGCATATTGAAAAATTACTTATATGTGATGTTTAGTAGCTTAGGTGTAGTCTTCCACTTACTTGGGTCAGTATAAGTAAGTTGTGCTGTTCCTCCAAAGTCACAGCTTGTGGGAGCTGGATTCTTTTGGTAGTAGTCATTGAAAGCATAGGAAGCATGGTCTTTAAGTGTGTTTGGCTCATAGCAGCTTGCACCAGACTGAATAGTTGCACAATCTGCACCTCCAAAGCCACAAGCATAGTCCAGTGCTACTTGCAAAGCAGTTGGTGAAGCACTGGGGCTGGCTACACACCAAGATCCAGTAGATGGCCCCTGATTGTTGGTCGGGCTTGGGTTTGGGTTTGGATTCGTATTCGGGTTTGGGTTTGGGTTAGGATTCATGGGCGGGTTTGGGTTTGGATTTGTGTTTGGGCTAGGGTTCGGGTTAGGATTCGTGAATGGGTCTGTGGTAGATGGCGGGGGGATATCCATCGTTGGGGGGTTCGGATTAGGATTCGGGTTTGGATTTGTTGTACCTGGGGTTGTTGGATTAATAATGGGAACATCTAGCTGGGCAGAAGACATGGAAGGTGAAATGGCAATGTCCTCCTCTTGGAATGCTAGTTTTTTGCTTTTTCTGATGGCTTCTCTGGAAGGTTTGTCCGCAATGCTTGTACCTGAAGTAAGTAACACCAGATAGGTGTCAGTTTGTTCTGTCTTTCGTTTTTGCTTTAGTTTCAGCATGTTGAAAGAATGAGTAGTACATCACAAGGTTGTTTGATTCCAGATTACATTCTTGAACCAAAGAATTTGTGTTATTTGCTGTTCTTGTATTATGTTCCTAGGTACATCTTCAGAAACATGGAGTTTCATAAGAACCTACTTTTTGTGTTTTCCCATCAAAAGACAATTTTGTTATCTGTGGATGAAATTAAAATTTCGTTGATGTTCTTTTTTGTTTCTAGGACAAAGGAAAACTCTTTTTGACTAAGCTTTTCTGTTTAGAATTTGTCGTTACAGATTCAAACCTTACAGGTGATGAAATTTGCAAATTGTCATTTAAGTAGCCTATATTTGTGCCAAAACTTGACTCATGAAAATTTTACAATGACTTGTATGTCCAAAATCCGGATTGATTAAATCGTAATGCTTCAAATGGATTCTTACAACAGTTTGCTGTTACCTTTCTTAAAAAAGGTGACAACTTAGAACAGTATATGCATGCAAAAAGAATATTGAGATGGTAAAGCCGAATTTCAAATCAATGAATTCAATTGAGGCGCAGAGGAGCGGTAAAATTGTATATTTTTCATTCAAATAAATCGATATTCCTCTCTTCCCAACATAACATTATGCAGTGGGAAAAGTACCTGATTAATGAATAATTCACTATTTCAGATGCCTAAAAAACTTGCAAGTACTATGAACAAATAAAAACAAAAAATCAGTATAACATGAGACTTTCCCGTTTGGCCATAAGAAAATTTTCACTTTTTTTCTTCGAAAAATTCACTTTTAAAAAAAAAAATTCACTTTTTTTCAAAACATTTTTACTTTTTTCGGTCCATGAAAATTTCAAATTTCACTTGAAGTTGAATTTCGAACTTTTTCGGAAATTTGAAAATTTTCAAAAAGTTATTTTTCAAAATTCATTTCAAATCACTCACAAAAGTTCAAAACAGCTCCAAAATATATTTTTGTCCAAACATAAATCTAATTTTCAAATACCATTCACTTAAAAAAAAATTTCACCTTTTTCAATTATTTTACAATTCTTTTGTCCAAACACCCACTTAATTTCTTTGAATAGAAAAATCGAAAATTAGCTTCAGCAATTCACGATTGCAAATTTTTTTAGTATATCGAAATATGTATAGTCCAAATTGTTAACCGAAGACTACAATATAGAAGGATCAAAAGACAACACGAAGTAGTAGAAGTATCACCTAAAATTTACTACTTACCTGAAAAAATAAGGAGACAAAAGAGAAAGCAGCAAGAAACTCTCATAGCTACTTGTTCAATAGATTTTCTATACTTGTTCTTCCTTCTTGTTTTCTATTAGAGAGTTTGAGATGAGAATAATATAAGTAGTTTCTCAACTAAGAGAAGTGCTAGAAACATAAGCTGTGAAGAGGAAGCAATCTTTTGTTGTTGCATGTAATATGTATATATAATACTATAAGGTATGATAAAGTTAAGGAGGGAACAGAATCCTAGCTTTCTTGCATTAGAGTACAGGTTTTTAAGTTTGTCATTGAGAGGAATATAAGAAGACTTGAGAAAGGAGGCATTCGGTAGCTAGAAACTGCAAGCAATTGGAGGTGCCTAAATAGCAAAAGGTAATCTTCGTTTGGATGCAAATCTCAAGTTTCTCCTACGGTGTTTTTGAAAACCATATAGTAGTAATTATTGCGGTAGCAATTATATAGCTTAGTAATTACACATTTCACGGGTTCGAGCCGTGAAAATAGCCTTTTGCGGGAATGTAGGGTAAGACTGCGTATAATAGACTCATGTGGTCCGACCCTTTTCCGGATCCCGTGTATAGCGGGAGCTTAGTGCTCAGACCGCTCTTTTTGTAATTTCAAAGACGCATATGACTTAATTATATGGTGAAAATCACATCGTAATTATTGCGGTAGAAATGGGGTGGATTTGGTATGGTGCACGGAAATCCATGATCTTTCTGGCAAACTAGGTATTTTTTGTACATATTTTTTAGAATTGATCTTATATTATTTGATGGCTCCATGTTCCAAAAAATGGGTGCACTCATATTCTAGAAATTCTAGATCCACATCTGATTACACATTAAATTTTAAAGACTGTATATTTGTCATAACTTATCTATAGTGTAATTCTTAATATCATATTTGATTATACAAGTGATACTTATATAGTTAAGTTTTAAAAAATTTAGAAAATAGTTATTAAAATCCTATAGCATTTCTATACGAATTTTTTCAGATGTTCTATCCAAGTGAATTCCCCAGTTCGGAATTTCAAAATTTTTGTTTTCTCTCAGATATTCTTCCTTTATACTATGATTTTAAAATAAGGTGGTTGAGTTTGTGAGAATTTTCGGCCCTCTTTTCTGCCTAACTTTTCCACTGTTACTAACGACTACCTCAAGAGGTAAAGTAAGAAGGAGAAGAAAAAATGGCAGATTTTTGTTGTTACTACTTGCTTTACATTTTACGCTCTGAGGCTAAAAGTTCTGGGATATCTTGCCAAATTTCCCTTTGCAAATTCGACAATCTTATGAAGTGTATAGATTCAAACTGTCCCCTGTGAAACAATATTACCTTTCTACCTTTTATAATAGTACTTAAGTAACAACATTCTTATAATAATAATTACATTTTGATACCATACTTCATATTAGCAGCCTAATCAAGATTCCTAGCACATAATAGAATCATATTTACACTTTACATAATCAAAATATTGTTGTCCACATGGCCAAAGAAAAAAGAAATACCAGAAAGGAAAAATTAAGGTAACTTCTCAACTTTACCTTTTACGGCCCCTGACCCTTTTCTCAGGTGTTACAAATCTTTTGGAATTTAATCATTACTTAGTTCCAAAGCATCCTTGGCCTGGAGATAAACTATTTCCGAATTCAATGTAAAATAGATATAAAATCATGGATTTAAATACTGATAATATACAATACATGTTCAATTAACCGGCTATAGCAGGTTACTATAAACATCAGGCTTGGTACGAAGATGACATGTTATTGTAAGTAGGAGTGTACATGGGTCGGGTTGGTTCGGATTTTCTAATTACCAAACCAAATCAATTGTATTGGATTATTAAATCTAAATACCAAACCAAACCAATAAAAGTCGGGTTTTTTAATCTCGGTTTTTCTCGGGTTTTTCTGGTTTTCGGATTTTTTCCCATAAAGTCTTCATAGCACAAAACGTAAAATTTGTGCTTCAAATATTTCTTTAATCCTAGTAAGACAGAATTATATAAGGTGCTTTTCAATAAAATAACATAAATATGAGATGAGTCATGGCATTGTACTAAAATATTAACAATAAAGATAATAAAATCGTATAAAATAAATATTAATAATAAGCCATAATGAAAATAAACATAATTTAAAATTATGACTAATAAGTACTATTATTTACATGATTAACCACCAAAAGAAAAATAAGTTATACATTTTATCTAAACCATGAAAAAACTAAAAAATAGATATCCAACACTATTTTCATTCATAGTACAATTGAATTGAATGTCTTTTATTAGCATTAGCATTGTTTTGATTTTGGTTTAGGATTTATTTGAGTTACTAATATTTATGGACTATAAAACTTATTGGAGCATCCAAAAATTATAAGTCCAAACTTGAAATAATACGTTAAAAGATAAAACTATGAAAAAACTTAAGAAGTATTTATAAACTACACTACCATAAATATTTTTTTGTATTAAATATATTTAAAAACTTCTATACATATAATGTCGGGTTGGTTTGGTTTCGGTTTGACTTTTTTTAGTTAAAACCAAACCAAACCAAATATGGTCGGGTATTTTTTTCCAACACCAAACCATAGCCGGGATTATTTTCTCGGTTTGACTCGGATTATCGGGTTGGTGCGGTTTGTCGGTTTCATTTGTACACCCCTAATTGTAAGTCAATTTAATCTAATTGTATGAAAAATCTATATACTGAGTGTCCATGCCAGGCAATGAATTTATTTTGTAGAATTACCATTTTACCAATAATCAATCCTTTTGTTTGACATTACTCTCCAGTCTGCAAGTATTATTCAATTCCAGAGACTAAAGATGGAGGAATCTAACACTTATATTTACTGCAAACTTCATTTTTTGCATCTCTCCTCAGTGAGTAATAATAAGTACGCCTCATTTGGTAACATCTGAGCCATAGCTGTGTTTTTTATACTAAAAACATTTACTGCCATTTATTCAAAAAGTTTGTCATCACAGAATCTCGTCAATCCACTTTGTTACCAACTGGGAACACAAGATTCATCGCTACACAAACCAAGAAAGAGAGAAATAAGTGAGAAAAACTTTAACCCCCTTTGAAGTCCACCGATGCCCTTCATTTAGCTCAATACGAGGCACACATTCCTTCATAAAGTTGATTTACTCAAAAAATGTATATACAATATTGCATTGTTGGTACTGGGTACATCAGGCAAATTGCTAGTTATCTATGTACACACATTGTGCTACTAGCATTCACTGGCACCTGCCATCAGTAAGAATAAATACAATAACACACCTCAGCTGGTTCTGGATGCCAATTTCATCATCCAGTGGCCAGTTCTGCACTTGATCTGATTAAAGTTGCTGATATTGATTTGATGTGTGCTTCAATATTGATGCCCATACAATAGGAGGTTTGCAATATCCAATCTTGGTTTTTCCCTGGTGGTGCCCAGGCAAAGGGGAAAGCTAAATGACTGTGAAGGTTAACATCTGTTAAACGCATAACAACCCAGCGTTGCACGACCAAAGGACTAGCCCAGGTTATTCATCCATCATGGTGAGGAATCAGAATGGCACAGAAAGGAAAACGAGCAAGCTGTATGCAAACAGAAGTGCCATGATAAGAAACCATAAGCTAATAAAGAAACAAGAAGAAGAAAATACAAAACTTTACTTCATCCTCGTGGCTTATGGCACTTTGACAGACGATTGGTAACTTCACTCCAAGCTGCAAATAATATATGGTTTTAGATTCAGAGAAACAGTATGCTGTTAACACATGTAATTATCTTACCAGGAAAATTCCTGAAATCTGGGTCAACTCCATTTCCATTAATATCCAAGTTATTTGGTGTGACATACTTCCCGATTGTTACAACCACACCCGAGCCATCAGGCAACTCGAACACAGACTGAATCAGCCCCTGCAATGATGCGAAGAATACAGTGATGTTGTAACTCAGAAAGAAGAACCAGCAAATCTACCCTCCCATACACCAGAACTTTGTAGCTATGGTAAAAATATATAGTTGGCTTCAAACCAGTTTCAAGCTACTTCAACCTCACAGTGAAAGGCCATATACAGTGCCAACTGCACAGATCTCCT